ATAGGTGGAGGTTTGACCTTGATGACAAATCCCAGGATGGTACTCTGTCAGTTCCGGCTGACAGCAGATTCTTTCTGCACAGGAGATCATCCATTATTGTCTTTGCTAGCACAAATATAGAACAGTTTGACCATGGTCACAGAAAACAATTCAAAGATTTATTGGCTGTAGATCATCAAGAGGGACTTGCAGTGAATAGAAATTACAATGGAGATTCAAGAGCTTTTGGGTCGCTCAGCACATTCCATGGAAGACCTGAGGAGAATGCGGGACTTGGTAAAAGCCATGAGGTCAACTGAGCTCCAGGCCATTGTTCAAGATGGAGAACTGTTCAGCACTTGCATCACATTGCTCCAGCAGCAGTCAGCTTCTGATTCCAGGTAGCTTTGCTGTGACTGCCAAATGGCCTTTCATTGGTAGAGTGACTTACATTATTTGTATAGTTGGTATCCTGAATCTCTGTGCAGACTGTCAGAGGCTCAAACTGCTATGGCATCCATATGAATGAAATTAATGGGAGCAATGATGTTTATGAAGGGGAATTTTTGCATGTGCCCCCTTTCTGCTTTCATATCTCCTATCCTTGAAACTTCTCGATGTCTCATTGAGTCTACAATCTGTCTCCCATCAAGTAGTGACCCTGGGATTCCTCAAGGATCATGTCACTCCAGTGTTTGTAACTATCCTGACATTGACATTTTCATTTGTCATCCTCATCCTCTCCTTCCTGCTTCTGTGGTCTCCCCTTTTCTTCTTTGAAGCTTAACAGAATATGGTCTCTTTCATTCATCTCAGATTACAGGCTAATCTGCTTATATGGTGGTCTTCCAAGCAATAGAAGATGCCACCTTAGCAAAGGTTGCCTCGAGGATATTCATTATAAGCCCAATGAAATTCAGCCATGATCTTTTCAATATTGGCGGGGCTGCTTTCACCACTCACTGATACATTTCAATTTTGCCAACTCAGTTTCAGCCTCTTGTAATCTCTCATGTCTTGCATTCTTAGTGTGGGAACATTGGCTTCCTATACAGTGTGTTTCAAAAATCACACAACCCTATATAATAAAAAAATAGAGTGTATATTTGCATCATAAAATGTTGAGGTAATTAATTGAAGAAACATGTTGCCTGTGGATATAAATGTCTTAGCAAAATATCGTTGTAGCCAACTTAAACAATCAATCATGTTATATATACAACAGTTATTATTTCTATTCAGGGTTGTGACTTTTGAAACACACTGTACCACAGGATATCATCTGTTAGTGATTGGTAGTAAGTAATTCAGGAGCATTGAGCATAGATGCATGTTCTACCATGAACTATTCTTAATATCTTAAGTGATGACGTAATCAGTCCAGCTATCTGTATGATCTACAGTATTTTTGTTATTCAAATAAATGTTAGTAAATGCAAATTCATGCAAACCATTTTGTGTTTAAAGAAAGTTATGTATAAGAAAAAGTTAGCAGAGAAACAAAACTTAAGGACCAATCAGTGGAAGGCAATTGAATTTCTAGTTGCCCTCCCCTGCCCCCTCCCCTTTCATGGAATCCTTATTTGCCACTGGAGACAAGGTACTGAATTTGACTAGTCTTGTGCCAATGTTCTTCAAATCACCAATATCTCTGGAAATATGACACTATTGAAGGCTGGGAGTGTGATAACTAAAGTTTGTTGAATTTTGAAGATTGCATATTATTTGTGGTGAGAATGGTCATTGAGTTTTGAGAGAAAAGGTGATCAACATTTGAAAAACTTCAAATGAGTTAAAGCTGTTCACTACTGGCATGGGACTTCCATGCTATATCTCCATTTGCTTGAGCCTTCCCCCCTTTCTCCTTTTAGGGATTCCAAAGTAGGCATCCTGAGTGAGACCTTCTTTGCGATGCTCGATGTTGTACCCACAGGTGCTCTCAGTGACTCTCAACATGAGCAACTCCAAATATGCCTTAGCCATTGCTCTCCTATTGTGAGGGAAATGGCCCTCTGTCAGGCAAGTGGCATTTGTCTTGTTGCAAGAATGGCGCAAAACCATTTTGCTATCAGTTCAATATATGTAAAGTAGGTCTTTGCTGGTGCCAGATATTTTTAGGCTGAACTTCACCTGTACATCTCATGTGAGATACATGTTGTTACTACATCTTCTCTGGTATCTAATGTATGAAACAGTGAAAATGATTCTGTTTCGCTTCTTGTTCTATAGCAAATGAAAACAAATAAATGCAGCATAAGTGGGAAGGCAGGAACTTGCATCTGAAGCCTACTTTAAAAATAAAATTTGACTTGTATATAGAACCTAGCTGCTGAAATTTGTAGTAGGAAACGTCAGTTGCCAGGAACTAACTAGTTCAAATGCAGACATATATACTGCATTTTTAGCTAGCGTGGAATAGGAAGCAAAAAAATTTGTTAAATTCTAAGTCATGCCAGGTGCATCATGTTACACCTTACATTCTTGTTCATGTTCACTCAAGCATTAGCTAGACTTAACAGAGTTAACATGCATTGTAACCTCCCCAAGAATGGGATATCCTATTCACTTTGGAAAAAAAGCAATTTCCTGTAATTCTTTGTGATTAAGGGGAATAGGAGGTGGTGAATCCTAATTTTGGTTGCTTACAAGCTCGCAGCAATATGTAAATAAGAAATTGGTGTTTCATGCATAGACCTTGTCCTACCAGGTATGTGAAACTTTATTGCATCTAGAAAGAAAAAATTCATTGCTGCTCTGTCCTCTGATTTTTGGTACCTGAGCCAGTCCATTCAGTGAATTTTGTCAGAGCAGCACTGGGAGAGAGAACTTGGCTCCTAATGCAATCTGTTGGCAGATAAATTGAAGTAAAGTATGAGGGGAGGTCCAAAAGTTTGGCTAAAATCATGTCTCTAGTGATCCTAAGTGGATTAAATTTTTTTTGTGTGTTCCTTAATTATTCATCCCTTTGTAAAAAAATTTTATCCCCACAGAAGGTCATGGAGATGAGAGGCGGCACAAAAAGTGGCAGTGGTCAGCGCGCAGAAGTGAAATTCTCAAAAGAGCAAAAACGGACGATCATGCTCTACCAATTTCATTGTGGTTTCTCAGTGAAACAGTGCTTTAAAGACCTCAAAACTCATCTTGGTGATGAAGCCCCAGGTCTCCAGAATATCCACAAGTGGTTTCGAAGGTTCCAGTATCCAAGAACCACAATGAAATTGGTAGAGCATGATCGTCCGTTTTTGCTCTTTTGAGAATTTCACTTATGCGCGCTGACCACTGCCACTTTTTGCGCCACCTCTTGTCTCCATGACATTCTGTGGGGATAAAAATTTTTTTACAAAGGGATGAATAATTAAGGAACACACAAAAAAAATTTCATCCACTTAGGATTACTAGAAACATGATTTTAGCCTAACTTTTGGACCTCCCCTCGTAGGTGCTTACTTCTGGGGCTTATTGTCAACACCATTGTGAAAAATTATTGAAAAGTTCCTCTTCTGAATGGCAGATTAACTTCTGTCAAGGTGTTTTGCATTAGCAGTTACTTTCACACTAGCACAAGGTGTAGACACTGATGTGAGGTTATGAATTCAAACTTGATGTGATCCCTTGCACTCATGTAACTTAGGTCAGCAGAAAGAGAGAGGTGAAATCCCCCTGTGATTTTCTTTTAAAGGGGAAGGATGGAAGCTTCCATGTAACATGTTCAATATCAGACTGTATTCTGTGATTTTTTCAACCCAAATCAGCAAGGAGTTAAAGAGTTGTTCTCCAAAAGATCAATGAGTAGATGTTGTATATATACAGCATGTGGAGAAAATGTTTTTGTCTGCCTCCTTGTCTCATTCTTGAAAAAAAGTGACCAAAACTTCTTGTGGCTAGCTCTGNGAGCAACTGTCAGCCTTTCTGGATCTTTACTGTGAGATGCATGCACATTGCTCAGCCTGGGGGGGAATGTCATGTCACCAGTCAGAGTTGCTGCTTTCCCTCTAACCTTCATTGTGTGACACACCTATTGTTGACAGATATGGACCAAGGCAATATATAGTGGTATAGACAGGATTACTTGCTGAACTCATGAAATGCCATGTTTGGCTATACTGCACATGGTGCTTTCATCCCATCTTCCACCCTCTACCCACCTACCACATACTCCTGTTCCCAACAGTCTATGAAAGAAAGCCCACTATTAGAAAGAACTTTCCTAACTTGTTTCATTATTCTCATTTGCCTTTCATCACAGACATGAAACAACTACTGCAGGACCTGAGTCATTTGGCTGAAGATGCAAGTACAGAGACAAGGACCAGAGCTATGAACACCATTGCTTCTCTCCTTTCTCTTAATGTGAGGCATTGGTATTGTATCTTATGCATTCTAAGGTCAGATTTCTGCAAGTTTGTATGCTTGTTACTACAGGTTGAAAATTCAAATAATGAGTTAGAGAACCTCACTGAATCATGGTTTAGGCATCTCTCCAAGGATCCAATGCAATTCTGTCTGTCCCTCTGCAAGCAACCATTCACTGACATTCGTACTGCTGCTCTCAAGATTCTGCAGGTCATTGCTTCACAGCATTGGGGTCAAGTATACATTAAAAATACACCAGGTGAGTTAATGATACCTTATCTGAAGTGGTTCCTTGAGCTATGATCTTTGACCCAGAACTTACAGTATGAGAAGTGGATAGACCAATGTCAAGTGCAGACTTGTATCTTCATTTTGCAGGATGCTTGGAGTATATACTAGACCGCCGCACAGAACATGAGAAAGCAGGAAAGGAAGGAAAATATGAAGTTGTGTCATCAATTGTCTCCAGCCCTACTGCCCTTACTGTGTTTGGAACAGAAATGTTGTTGCCTCTTCGCAAGTACGAGAGAGAAGGGCCCTTCTTCATTGCACCTGATGTCGACATAGCTTTTGAAGGTGATGGAAGTTGAAGCAAGAATGAAAGAAATGATGTTAATGCCATGAAATGTGGTTTAATTTTTCAATAAAAAAAGAACCAAGAATTTAAATCATTTCACCTCTTTTTCTTTTGCTTCAGTCTCTTTGCATGCCGATGAGCTCCTGTGGGGCGTCGGCGTTTCTTCGATTCAATCTCAGCCATTTTCCTCTTTCGATATCTGCAATGTGACAAAGTTGAGATGTGACATGGCTTTTTTTTTTCTTTTTCTTTTTTATACTGCATTTGATCCATTGTCTTAAAAATCATGGAAAGCTAACCTTTGGAATTCAGAGTCAGCTAGGAGCTCTTCCACTATTGTTCTCTTCCTCTCCTTCTTAGGGATTCGAGCATGATAGAAATCAGCAGGCCCTTCAACTACTTTCCCAATCTGGAAAAAATATCAAAAATGAATAAATTAAGAACATCATATGCCAGTGCTGAAATGAAGAAAATGATCGTCATTGCTCATAGCATATCGTGACCAACTTAGAACTGTAGTGGCTAGTCCATACAGCAATGTGTCAAACCTGAAAGTATTTGGGAAGAGCCTTGAGATCATTCTTCTTGTAGAAACGCTTGGGATCCAGGACATTCTGCATCTGAATGACTTCAAGATCTCTCTTAATTTCATTTGTTAGTTCTGTGGCAGGTAAATGGAACCACTTCTCTCCTTTTGTCTTTGCTCGTTCTATCTGTAATTAGAATTGCATCAGTTGAGAAAAGGACACTAGGACTCAATTCAGTGTGATGAGACACATACAGATCATTCCTGAGAAATGATAGGCCAACATTCCAGCAATTAAGTGGACCAAACAGTCCTTTGATGATTTCTCACTGGCATGGGAAGAAGCAGTGAAGAAGAAAATGCAAGTCATTGAATCTTCCCTTCATGCTTCAGGACATTTTTGAAAATATGTGGAGTTATTTGTTTGTAACCATTCTTTCAGCCTCTGGCATTTTCCCTGTCCAATGTGCAGAGGCCCTGAGAGCCAATTTCCAGATGCTAGGCATGTCATGCCAAGCCAATCCATGATGAGGTTATGCTTTTGGTGAGGGAAATGTGGCTTTCAGCATATTTGTCATTGTTAGGCTATTTTGAGTCCTATTACCTTCAAAAGTCATAAACAGGTATTCTCACAAAAGAATTTTATTTGCCATTCTTAACCCCTTCCAACCCAGTGATTCTATTAGGAATCACTTTTTAACTTTTTTCTTCTTCATTGGAGTCATGAAGTCATTATCCCTAATGTATTTTATCCAAGGTTGGCACTAATGCAAGTTCCTTTAAATACTCTTGCCATATGTAGAGCAGGCTAGGAAAACCCTTGTGAATGAGGTTTGTGGGAACGGAGACATGTGGGCAGCAGCCCACTTAGTCTGCTTGCATATCCTTCCCATGAAATTCCAATTTGTTGCCTCAGGTTTGCGGGGAAAATATATATTTTTCCTACACTGCTGTAGTGAGAATTTTCAACTGAATCATTAGTGTAAACTCTCAACACCATATAGTTATAAACTGTGGCTCACTTCTGATCACCATTTAACCATCATTATTAAAACTACCAATGGCAAAATTACAAGTAAAATGTACATAGCTGGGAAAATAATACAGGCAAGATGAAATTTATCTTCATTAAGTTCACACTTTCATGGCTCTGCTAACATGTCAGGATCTGGATATTGTTATATTTCAGCATGACATGGCAATGTGACATGTAATGTTGTTTTCAAAATCCTGAGAACCGCACCTATAGCTCCCACTGCCCACTAAGTCAGAAAAATCTGCTGAAAACACCTTGGAAGTACAGAGTTACAAACTATTTCTCCTCTCAGACATGGTAATCTCAATTTCCAATTATTGTCTAGAAAGTCCCAGAAACCCTTCACTCACTATGCAACCTCTAATCATGCATGAGACACTGAAAGTTCACAAATATAGTTATTTGGAGCACAAAACAGAAACACAAATCCCACTATGGAAATATGAGGTCTGTTTTTTTTTTAAATAAATGCTTCAGCTCTGGGTTCAGGGAGCCAATAAATGTCCTTTCCTGTGCAGGCATGAGGAAGCTCAATGCCAGTATGTGCATCCATGAATTATTAGTCCATAGGCAGAATTTCAAGGGATACAGGGAGCATGAAATGTTATAATGAGGACAGGCACTAGAGAGCATTTTGAGCAAAATCAGAGCATGCCATCAATTCAATACACTCCATACCCATTCATTGATAATTCTGTCATATCTGGGTCTTCTCAACACTGGTAAGATGTTATCTACCATATCATCAGCATCTTGCAAAAGTAATTTTCTGCAGTCTAAACCATCATGTCTGAATATGACTATTCTGTAAATTTTGGAATTACACACTCCTCCAGTCTGGGACCAAAGACAACCCTTTTGCCTCTTTAGCAGATGTCAAGTCTGTCCAGCACCAACCACATAAGCACATTGAGATATAGAGAGATCCTATCTGAGAGCTTCTACTTGAAGGCAATCCAAAAGCATAGAAAATGTTCAACTTCACTTAAATTCTTGGAAACTGCAGTATCATTCATAACTAAGGTGTCTAAGTATGAGAAATGCATCATCCATACACATTGATTTGGCCTCCCTGGGTATGAAGGATTTCCTCTTATATATTTGGGCTGAGACATGGATATGAAATAAAATATCTTCAGCCGAGATGCTTACCTTTCGGAGCATTGCCAGCTTTCTCCTGGATTCTGAATAGGAAGGTACTGCCTCCTTCTGTTCAAATCCAGGTTGAATGACAGAGTTTTTCATTAACTCATCTGGTTTACATAACTTTTTGGCAAGGGATTTCAGCTGACTTGTGCTCTTCCATCCTTCTGTTGGTGTTGGGTTGATGTACAAATGCTTCTTCAGCTTCCTGGAAACTTGCAATGAGCTGGACAACTTGACTGTTCTAATAACATCAAACAAGACAGAAGTGAGGAGAATTAACATTAACAAACTAACAAAACACATTGGTTTTGCTAAACCCACCTCTTCTCCTCCTTTTTTTGTTGCTGAATGGGATCTAAAGATTCATCACCCTGCTCTTCATCAGTATCACTGTCACTGTGGGATGAAGTAGCACAAAGCACAGTTGGAGCTCTTGAATCCACCACAAACAGTTCCTCATTGGGAATGTGTTCTGCAATGAAAGTCCATAAAAATCCAACTAGAACCAAACCAGTCACTCTTTCTTCTTTATTGTGAGGCAGGCTTGCATGCGAACCACTTGCATTCCATGCTCAGATATTTTTATTTTTCTGCATTATTATGATTTATTATTAGTATTTTTATTATTAATATTATTTATTAGTAGTAGTATTTTATTATTAATATTATTTATTAGTAGTAGTATTTTTATTATTGATATTATTATTAATATTTACTGATTGCACCAGAAAATTTAGTCTCCAGTAAGACAAATGAACTACTATTTAAAAATTCAAAGTGATGCAGCAGAATAAATAAAAACGTCCTTGGAGGAACATGCTTAGGATCCAAAATGTCCCTCTAAAGTAGTCGAAATACAAAGGCTAGGTCTAAATCCATATAAGGAATAGGTTATTTGAAGCAGATCCTTCTATTTGAGTTCAAAAGTTAAAAGATAACGATTTGGAACCGCCAAAACAAAACTCTGGTTCGATTTGGTACATCTCACCCACGCGTCGGCTCTCTGAGCCTAAATCAACGGTGAATGTCAGTCTAACAGTCAAAGCAGCACACGAGGCAGTTAGAGATAACTTTTAGGTTATAGACCGAACCCAAGATTCCGAGCGAAGCCTGAGTGCCGTAATTAGTTTGTACTTTCTCACCGATTTCGGGATTGGTCTGGCGACTATCGTTCTCGAGGGTTTCACGCGGTGGATTCTCCTGTATCGACAAAGTGTCCTCTTCGGTCGTGCCTGACGTTACGCCTGTTGCATCTTCATCGTCAGAGGAATCTTCGTCCAGATTCAGCGGATAACGAAAAGTATCCATCCGCTTCATCGCGAGTGGATCTCCAACCTAGCACAGGCAAAAGCTGACAAAACTGGGGCAGGCAGGCCAACGGCACTCAACCCTACAGAACGGGCAGAACGAGTCCACGTGACATCGGACTCCGCTCACAGGCACGCTGCCATCATGCCGCTAGCAGACGACATCCATCCGTGGCTGCTGCAGTGCTGTCGCTGGACCCCGTCGGCTGTCGAGTTACTGCTGTGATAAGCGTTTCGTGCCCATCTAATTTCGATCTCTGGAGAGCGTTGGGAGGCTTTTCTGTCAAAATCTGATATCTTGCGTTGGAATAAATGAGTATCGCGCTATTTTTTTCTCGGATTTTCCGTGGACTGTGACTCTGGATGGCTCGATCTCGTTACTTTCATCTTTTAGAACTGCAGCCAATTTAGAACTCCACTGCGGTAGGAGGGAAACCAGAGTCGTTCGGTGTATTGGCCCAACAGTAAGTGACCAGACGTTCCAGTTTGAATTGTCCTTCCACGCTCGTGTCTCGGTTTTTTCCCATTGCAGGAACTAACATTCCGGCATCTTGAAAACGTCCCGGTTTTTCCTGAAAAACAAAAAAAGAAATCCGGCTACCCTTCCCCAAAGGCGCGTGCCACCCGTGTAAGAACCTTCCCACCCCCAGCGCCATCTACTTCGCCCTCACTTGAACCACGCAGTGCCTGCTTGGAGTCACTGCTCGCTCGTCGAGCCATCTTTTCGCTCCAGAAACGTATCGTCGGAACCATGCTTCACCAGTCGCTCCCTCGGTTCCCTGAGTCCTTTTCCTTCCTGTCTCCATGCAATCGCGTCCAAGAACGAAGCCATTTCGAACCGTGGTGTCGTCTCGAATCGACCACAATCGTCGTACAATCGACGTCGTCTCTACCCTGGCAAATCGACTGATTTTTCTCCTTGGGCCCGCAATATTTCAATTCTATCCCCAAGTGTCAGTTAAAGAAATTGTTCTGGTAACTTCCATTCCCCCCCCCCCCCCGTCTTTTTGTCTTTGTTTGTCATCTTGTCTTTGTTTTCTTGCTTTCAATCCCCAGTTCGTCCCATTTCGTATCTCACGCTCTTGTTGATTCGCGGCGTATGTATTTACACGTCGACGGCTTCTGAGAATTCAGTTCGGCGTATTTGCTGAGATGCGTATAAATGACATACATAATATGTTATGTCATTTCTACACATCTCAGCATAGCACACGACGAACTAAACGGGCCTCATGGTCCCGCCAGAGCCATCGAATAAATAATATTATTGTTGACGGTCGGAACGCGAGAGAGTGCAAGGGTTCACCGAGAGAAATATAAGAAATCCAAAACAAGTGAAGCCGATAAACTTATTTTTTTTTTTTAAATTATTCGTTAACAGGTGTAAGTGGAAGTTCGTATCTTCGAAGGTCGAGGGGCGGACTCATGTTGGATAGGCCATTCCGATTCACACGGGGGGAAGCTCGTCCGAGGAGGGGGGGAAGGAAGACCGATAACCTCGCTCGAATCCTGGCACCTTTTGCACCTCGATCCTCCCTTGCACACACTGGCGAGGGGGAAGGGGAAGAGGTGGGGGGGGGG